CGCAAACTTCCAGTCTGTAATAACTTGCCAACAAATATGCACATGTATTCATTCTATGTTCATGAATTTCCATTTTATGTTGAAACAACATTAATAAAAGCACTTCTGTTATTAGGCTATGACATGAAAACGATCTGAAATCATTATTCAATTGCAACTTTAACGTACTATTATCACTTCATCTACCGCTATTCAACTACAACTATTATCAACCTCCACAGTTGAAATTATCAAACGCTGAATCGCCCTAATGTGCAGCTATATTAATTTTTCAAAGATAATATATTGAAAAATCCTCAAATAAACCTCAGATATTCATCCTCTATCTGTACAACCACTTATGTTTGTCATAGCGCAGTGCGTTGCGGCGCTATTTGTACGCAAGTGGTGCTAGGTTCAACTTCGTATTGCGCCGGTCTGTTGCAGGTTGTGGTGATGTTAAAATACTTATCTCTGATTTCATGCTGACAATGTATTCGTACTGTCTGAGCAATTGTGACGGGCCAATTTTGATGTAACCATTGTGCTAGACGAAATCTTTAGCTTTAGAGATAAGAAGTTATTATCCACGCAAATTATTCTTATTCTTGCAATTGAGCATTAGTAAAAAAATGCTGTTACACCAAATCTGAAACGTTTTTGTACGTCTAAAATTATCGATTGATTACTGTAGATCAGGATTTTTTTCATTCAAGGGTGCTCACACCCCTTGGAATGCGAGATAGTATTGCAGGGGGTGCGAGATAACATTTCATTGTTTATTCATTGAAGTAGGTGACAGTAGACTTTAACGCATATATTTTGAGAGGTTCCAGCATGGATGAAATTTATTGTGACTTTATGCTACTTTATGCTTTTTTGTAATATTTTTTCTTTTCTTTTTTCGAATGGTCATTTTTTATGTTGTTAAAGATTAATTATTAAAAAAATTCTTCCGGTCGCCTTCACCTTTATTCTTAACTTAACAATTGATGTGAGGGGTACGAGCACATTATAGAATTTTGTAGGTGATGACAGCGAAAAAAGGTTGAGAACCACTGCTCTAGATGATTATCACTTACTGATAACGTCCTTACAGCTTTCACGGTCTTTTCATTTTTACACAACTAACGCCGTATCGCTGAAATTCCTTTGCGTTTCGATTCAATTCATATGAACTGATCCTTGTTCCTATGAGACCGAATAAATCCACATTTATTCATATTTTTATCACTAGGCAACGAACCAACTTTTATAAAAAAATCGTTTAAGAAAGATACGCTGAGAAGAATTTCATATGAACGCTCTTGCACACTCAATTACTTTCACTGGAGAGTTGAACATTGAGTTTTAGTTTGACTACGGGTTTATTATTGTGTGAGGGAATAAGAAAGCAACTTTATTGACAGATTACATAACAAATTACAAAACGGTAGTGACACATATAACTATAAATGAGATTGATTGCATCAGAGTTAAAAAACATCCTGTAGGAATATAGACCTGTAATAATGAATTGAAAGCATTACGAGAGAGGACAAAGCAATCGACTGTATACATGTATTACGTTCGAAGACTATTGATAAGATCCATTAAAATTTACAAAATACGATGCTCCTATTGCTAGGAAAGAATATGCAGTGAAATATGTGAATAAGTTCTTTCAATTAAACGAAATAATCAGAAATAATTGGTATTTTACGAAGTGTTCATTCGTGATCAATAAGTTTATGGATTTAATCGTTCACAGAAGAGGCACAAAT